TGTAGGCACAACACAAATTGAATTCAAGGAGTGTGTGAATAGCATTTTCCTACAAATATAACCCCTGTTTTCTGCACCATAAAAAATGAACCCAATGCAATGAAGAACAGGAGTAATTGTGGCTTTTCTTTCCTTAGGCTTTTGGCTTTGCAGTCCTTAGACAGTAGAATCTTTGCTATATGTGTCAATTATCCTTATCAGTCTCTCTCTGCATAGCTAACCTAGCCTTGAGTGCTCTTCAAGTGTTGGACTGCTCTCGAGAAGGACTTTTGTTGTTGCGGTATTTCAAGTTAATTCATGCACTATTTTGTGACAGAATTAAAACGCATGACGATGACGGCATGTGATTGGATTGAAATATACAATAGTATAGTAAATCTTTCTCCTCCAAAACACTCAATTCCAGTCATATAGTTGAGTTTAAGTCCCCTTTTTTGTGTCAGCAAGTGTTCTGTTTAAGTTTTGGAAGGGAATTAAACTCTACTTGAAATTGAGAAAATTCATGTACTGTTGTATGAGAAAGTTAAAATGCATAGCAGTACGTGATTAAATTGAAATAATTTAGACGAACATCTCAGTTGTAATAAGTTTGTCTCATCCAAAATACTCAATTTTGGTCTTAAATCCCCTCTTTTTTAGTCAGCAATTATTCTGCTTAATTAAGATTTGGATGAGAGTTAAACTCAATTTCAACTGATGAATTTCACTCTCAAAAGTGAAGCAAGAACAAAACAAATAGACCAGATCGTTCAATAAATATTAACTATTCCAAGCTACCCTCCGTAATAAATCGATGTGTCTTGTCTTCCGCGTGTTCACATGTGGATGGTAATTGATTTTCAAAGGAGGAAAAAAAGGACCACCAGATGTGGCTTGGGGCCTTGGGTATAGCAAGTTCAAATTACAGTTCGGCTACTTAATGTCTTTCTTCCTCGTAACAAAATAGACGGTGTAATCAGTTGTATATATATTAAAAGATTACAACCGAGCTGATAACTTATTAGTCTGAAAGACTCGTCGTGAACAACAAAATATCTACAAACCCCTTAATTGACACCAAAGAGTGTGCTAAACTCCGATCACGAAGTCTTTCTCCTTTCCTCCATGTCCTTATATGTATGCATTGAATGATATACATCTACAAGTTCGAATTTCTCTCTGTATTTAAAAACACAAAATGTTTTATTTTCTAGCCAAGTATTGGAGAAGAACTTGCATGAAATATGTTGCAATGTGCTTAAGTTTTTTTCTACATGTCATTTCATTATTATACCAGAAGGTCACAATAGCGATAAACGCGTTTCATGCAAGTTATTCCCAATGTAATGAGATATTGAGATTATATAATTTGAAAAGGACGTGAGAGAGCAAACCCCAAATATTATATACGCTGTGAACTTTTTGATGGAAAATCTGGAAATAATTATGCAGAAAGCTTTAGGAGTTTCCAAGCAAGTACGCACAGAAGCTACTACTATTACAACCTCTATCTGCTTTCTGCACTGCTGTTATTAATTAAAATTATTATTGGAGATTTGGTTTGGTGATGGTTTACTCTAAAGACAGACGTAGTCAGTAATGGTCGCTGTCATCTTATAGGTGCAGGACCATCGGACCATATGATGGTCCTTCTCCTTCCTTCCTTTCCTATTTTTTTCAGGTTTAGGCTTTTGGGGTAATTGAGGACACTGAGGACTGAGGAGGGTCCCAAAATTAGATAAACTTTTGTCTTTGCGTTTAGAGTGGTCTCCAAGCAATTTCCATGTTTAGAGCTCAAGAGTAAAACCATACTTATGGTCTCTGAATCTTGGTAATGGTTTCAGTTTAAGAAACCGTACTACGATCTTATGAGTATTGGCCCAATCTTGGTTAGGTTTTTGTGTGAATGAAGGCACAGTATGGGCCAGGAAATAAAATTGAACCCATTCTTTGAGATCCAAATGCACCTTTGCCAGTTAACACCCTACTGAGGATAACGAATTGTAAGGTTGTAGATGAATATATATTATGTGGTCTGATGAGCTACCACACGGTTTAAGCCGAAAAACAGCGATGCATTGCATGCCCACCAAGCAAGGACACAGTAGCGTCGTGTCACGTAACTCAGACTGACCCCCCAATTTCAGAACCAAGAGTTTGATGACAACTACATTCCTACATAAAACCATCCCCACATAAAACCATCCCCATATTTTTTTTGCATGCTAATTCCTATATATTAAGATCGAGTGAGATATATATACAAATATATATATATGTATATTACCTAGATCTGTACATAGCCCATATCATGACAAATTAATAAATTAATCAACTTACGTAGCATGCTTCTTGATCTCATAAATTCATGAATCATAACCAAATTAATATTATCTTTAAGTGAAAATTATGCATTTTTTTCTGGTCTGAGAGATCGATCATTGATGTGCCAACGTTGTTAACTTGTTGATTTTCTAAGCTCACGATCACGTATTGTTGTTGATTAGGTATTTCATGGTCGTGATTTACGATTCTAGCTAGCTGGTTAGTATCATCTGTATTCTTCTTCTCTTAGTGATTGATATATGATGGTTATGGTTGAGGAAAAGAGGTAAGCCGTACTATAGGAATTGACAACTAATTGTGTGAACAGGATAATTTCATAGGAGGAAAATGGTGTGATTGAGATTCAAGTGGCTCAGATGGTTAGTTGTTGAGAACTTGAGAGCATCTGTGTTGATGCACAAAACTGGAGGGGTCTTGGAACAACGTAAATTCGACCGTGAATCTGCAAGAAAGTAAATAACACAAGATGTATCGTGATTCACCTCAAGGTTTGGGCTACGTTCAACACTGATATTGTATTTCTGAGAGGATTGTAAGGGAGAGAGTGTGAGGATCCTCATGGCCTAGCAATTGGCCTCTGAGGATGAGAGTGAGGCCTCCCCAATTGTGAGGGTGAGAGGTCATTTTATAGAATAAGGGCTCCTCACTTATTACATATTTGCCCATTCCTTTATTACATAATTACATTTGAGTCCTCCGAGTATTTATACGAGATCTAAATATGGGGGCCCTAAGTATGGTATAAACAATCTGTATCCAAGGATGGAAGTCTAGCATACGTTCTCGACCTTATGTTTGAATGAAGAACCGTTACCTACCCAAAAACTTTAGAACTAAATTGTTAAAAATGCACAACAATATATAGTACCGATGTATTACTCAAGCACTATAAAACTGGTACTGAAGACTACACATGCACTACAAACACGGTAAACAAAGAACCTTTGAATGACATCTTTCTGAGAATCATTTGAAGTTTTCTCAATTGGCTTTTTCAAATCCCTCTATCAAATTTTTGTACTTCATTCCTAACAAATTTTTACTAAGTTTCATGGAACTTTAAAATGTGTCTCATCCAAACACACGATTTTAAGAATATTTACATTCTTTGCCAATTAATTTTGACTTTAATATTCGCAATATTCTAACAGTATACAATAAGGGTTTTTAAAAAAAAAAAAATTCATGCAAAACGGGGTAATTTTTTTTTTCCTGTCCGTGAGTAGATTTTGAGTTTATGCTGCTTTTCTTAACAAAATTTATTGATTCGAGCTTAGCCAAAACAATATGTTGCTAACTGTAGAACAAACCTCATCAGGTGGGTATTGTGCATGCTCGCAGCTAGCTTAGATATAAAAGGGGCGCCCTGTCCCGCGCCAGTTTACGTATAAACCAATGTAATCTATAAGAGGCAGCAAAGATTTTTATCTGACGATGTATTGGTGAAAAGGAATTGGAAACGGACAAGAATTAACAAAAATCTTGTGAGACGACTGAATAAATGAGTATAAAGAAATTGCCTTCATATATTCTTCAGATTAAGTAATCATTGCTTGCACCGTTTGACCTGATCATCAGTGTGAGAAAAAGAATAGGAGAGAGAGAGAGAGAACGAAATATAAAGATGATCAAGCAAAACGATTGTGTAAAATATATATGAATGGATATATAAAAATTAGAAGTACATTAATTTGTAAAGGTATTGCTGAAAGAGAGAAATGAAAATATCAGAATTTGAAGAGTAAAATCGAGGGTGATAGCAGGTGCGGCCCTGTGGGGAACTAAGAGAGAGAGAGAGGCGCTGTGTTACTGTCTGTTGCCTGTGCCAGCATTTGATGAGTTTTGGCAAGGCTAACTGGCTAAGGATGGGAGACGCTTCCATATGCAAATAGGCTATCCACATACATTACCATTCCATACCCGTCTCTTCATATATCTCTGCACAGTTTTCTAGATTTAATTTATCTAAGTATTAATTTATTCTTCAAACTATTTACTTTTGAATCTATATATCGATGGAAGTTGAAGTTTCACTTTGCTGTCGAGCATATAATTAGACTGCTATAGGATCTTTTCGGACAGAACTTTCCCAACCATTTTTTTTACTTTTGTGGAGTCCGAGGACCCGATAGGCTCCTTAAGACATTTCTACCAATTGGCAAAATGAGAAACTTTCGATGTGAGGCCTTTCTACGTCCTCACATATCAGTTAGATTCAGTTGTAAACGCTCATAGTTTAAACACAAAATTGGATCTCTTCTAGCTATTGCCGGATTGAGAAGATGATTACTTAAGATTGTATTATAAAATAGAAAAGGATTAAGATCTTATTATTTATTGGTGGTGACTTCTGGTGAGAGAATAATTGATACTTAGAAGATTAACAGTGCACAGAGGGCACAGAGGATTAACAGTGATGAGAATAGATACTTGAACCTCTAAAACCCTATCTAAGACCCCACACACGCACACAACACGTACACGGACATGATAATATAGTTCTTTACGTGCGGTAAAAATTTACATGTTGTGAGTTGTTTGTATGTATTTGGTGAAGTTTTTTTATCAAGTGGTATAAAATAGTGGGGGGTGAAAACTGCAGTAATGAAATAAATAGGGTTTGTCATACATACTGTACAGGAGCGGCATTGCGAGCAGTAGCATTCAGCACCTCCTTTGTATTTGTCATTTTCTAGCCGCAGCTTGTTTATCTATCTATCTATCTGAGTCCTCTTGACATGAAGTCACGTGAATGCCTTTCAGCCTTCAGGACCCTCTCGATCTCTCTCTCCTCTTCTGGTTCTTGCCCTGAATATCTCAGGTCCTTTTGATCAGCCTTTAGCCTATCTCATATTGTCCTCCTTTGCTGGACACTCGACACACAACACCCTCCCCTCTGTCCCTCTCTATATCTCTCTCCTTTCTTTCTCCAGATCTCTCTCCCTCCTATATGATGACTCCAGTCTATCTGAACCCACAATCCTCTCCTTTCTTCCATGTCGAGCAAGCAAACGATCAGGATCAACGCCTGAAACTTTTTATATCATCGTCATATCATAATCAAGCTGCAGCTTCATCATGTTCTTCTCTGATCTCATCATTTCCTACTTTCCTTGATTCCTTTGAAGATCAAAGAGCTGGGAGTTCTACTACTACTACTCATGGTCATGGTCAAGATCACTCACTTCAATATCATCACAAGGTAAGAAAACCTATATAGCTACGTACATATTTATAAATTTAACTATCTTCGTGTTTAATTTACTTTTAATTGAAATTTTAGTACTTGATCTTAACTATTTTCAAATCTTCCCCTAATTGACTCTTCGCTCTTTAACAAGTCCATGATCAACTTGTAATACCCTAGTATTTTTGTGATCTTGTGATCTCATAATTAATTAATTTTGATGGGTTATCTCGGATAAAACAAATGAATATTGCTACCATCTATATATAAGTAAGATTGATCTTTTGTCCAATACTCCAAATAAAAAAGGCACGTTTGTTCTCTAAGTTTAGTGTTTTATATTATTGTATGATTGTTCACATGTACGGCACACACCGACAGAACTCAATTGCTAATCAATTAGTAAGTAAATAAAGTACTTTGTATTATTATTTTTGTGAACTCAAATTGTCTTTCATTTTATCTCAGACTGATAATCACACGTGGGATTGTGGAACAAGTACTCATGATCAAGCATCCTCGCCATCTTCTTTAGTTCAGCCTCATGTGGTGGACGTTATAAGCACCAAGGACCTTAGATTAATGTCAGCATATGCTGATCATGAAAGGGAGATCAATGGTAGAGGAGGAGAGGTGGGTAAAAGTAATAATAATATTAGGCCAAGGGCAGTAAAATGGATGTCCTCCAAGATGAGGTTGATGCAAAAGATGACCAACCCGGATCTCGCGCTGGCCGGTACCACTAAAAATTATGTACTTGCAGCTGCTGAGATTACTGAGCATAAATTCCAAGTTGTACAGTATCAAGAAAACAGTGATGAAACCAGCTTTTCCAGAAATAGCAACAATACTACTCCAGATGTTAGGGTTTGTTCTGATTGTAACACCAGCACAACCCCACTTTGGAGAAGCGGCCCTCGCGGTCCCAAGGTAAATTAAATAATGTACTTACTGTCTATAAAATATTCTATATTGTAAGACTGTAAATCTAGACCGCACATTCTCATATATATTAAACGTGGCTGATAGTTCAAAATTATAGTCTGACAGTAAGTAACAAGGCAAATATATGTTGGGTAGATATAATATGTTCATGAATCAAGTATTCAGCTGTGTGCATATGTGTGTTGTTGCAGTCACTATGCAATGCATGTGGAATCCGACAGAGGAAAGCTAGAAGAGCCATGGCAGAGGCTGCGGCTGCTGCTGCAAATGGGTTTGTAGTCGGCGCCACTGACACTTCATCTGCCAAGGGTAAGGTGGCCAACAAGGAGAAGAAACCGCGCGGAAGCCATAGTACTAATGTTACACGATGCAAGAACAAGAGCAAGCTCATTGTCACCGACAATGCATCAGTATCTCCCAACAACAAAATTAATAGTAATAATAATAAGATTTGTTTCAAAGGTTTGGGTTTTCAACGAGTGTTTCCTCAGGATGTTGCTGAAGCTGCAATCCTCCTAATGGAGCTGTCTTGTGGCCTAATCAATCACTCTTAATTTTCATATTCTATTACATTTTTGTTCTCCCTCATCTTTTAATATCGAGGATTTTGTTTTGTTTTCGTTCCTTTTCTGTGGTTTTGCTAGAGTGTAGGTTGGAGTAATAAAACCAAAGAGTTACTTGAAGAACATTAATTTGCTGAAATTGTAACTGTAATTTATTTTACGCATTGGTAAACTGTCAGCACTTGGTGCGATGGCAAGTGCCTTCGCCCATGAGCAGTAGGTCTCGGGTTCGAGACTTGGGAGCAGCCTCTCCATAAATGGGGGTAAGGCTAGCCGATTCACCTCTCCCAGACCCTGCGTAAAGCGGGAGCCTTGTGCACTGGGTACGACCTTTTATTGGTAAACTGTCAGCTATTGATTAATGGTGGAAATTAGCATATTTGAACGAGTAGTCAAGTTAATTAGAGCATTGAGTCTCTACCTTAATCCAAGTTTGAATATGGTTTTTTTTTTATCAATTTAGATTAGATTAGTATACCACTTCTCTTAAAAACTAATGACATGTTACTTACAGGAATGAAATGAATGAAAATCATTTTGGATTTTTGAGTTTCATGTGCTTACTATTGCATATAGAATAAAAAAAATTATTTCATAATCCAATACTAAAAAAGTAGAAAACACTCCTTGCTTCTTCAAATCCTAAATTTCCAATTCTTGACTTCTCTCATTCCTAATAAGTAAATATTGTCATATCACTATTCTAAAAATCCCTGCCTAGCGCCACCTAGTCCCAGCTTAGGCACTAGGCGGTTGGTCACCGTCCCGATTAATGCTTAGGCGTTTGAAAATTTAGAAATTGTGAGGCGCCCGCCTAGACTGCCTAGGCACCCACCTAGCCCGCCTTGACACGCCTAGGTTGCGACTCATTTAAACAGAAAATAGATAACTTTCATTTTGCATTATTTTTTTTAATAAATTGTAAGAGAGTTGTTGAATACTTAAATGAATACACATTATATGTTTGTTCCCTATGTTTTCATTATGTTTCAATATTTCATACTATATATGTCATTCTATTTTATAATTTATGATGTAATTATATATATTTTAAGTATAAACATACACTTATTTACAGAAAATATAATAGATTTACTTAAATCCGTCTAGTCTGCCTAAGCGCCCACCTAGGCGCTAGACCCCAGCTCACCGCTCGACTAGCGCCTAATGTATTTTAGAACCAAGGTCATTTGTAATGGGCGGTGCTTATTGAAGATAAGAGAGTTAGAAAAGTAGGTCTAAAAGAAGTTTATGAAATTGAGCTCATGAGTGGATGTCATCAAATGAAATGAAACCTCTCGGCCCATGGTTCATGTAATCAAAGACGGTCAAAGATGATTCCACGGTAATTAAGGGGCGCACAAATGTTTCTGAGTCTTTCTAACACACATAATTTCACCACCAATTGATCCCTCTTTTCAATTAAAAAAAAAAAAAAACTGAGCCTAAAACATTACGACAGTGACCTCCCTTCCCTCGTACCAATTGTAAGAATTCCAAGGAGTTTACAAATGCACCTACCACTTGACTAAAACTAACTGCACATTCATCAATCTTATGTTGAAAATTAGATCTTGGATGTAACTTTCACATTTAGTCGATACATACTTTATTATCGTAAGGGGAGTAAGTTTTATTCAAGCAGCTGTAGAAAGTTCGCAACAATACAAGTTACATAGATGATGTGTATGTATTTATCAACAATTGGGTAATTGTGTCTAGTCTCAAATTTGAATAAGTAATTGAGTTAAAATCGTTTGACTATCATACCATCACTGATATTAAATATAGTTATAATTTGAGTAATTGTATAATTGTAACTGTCATACAGTTATTTTGAGTTGACCGTTCAACAAAATAGAGTAAAAAATTTTAAAATTAAAATTTTCCCTTTTGTGTTTTATTATATCCCCTTTAGAGCTTCCTACCATATAACGAGGATGTTGAAACAATGTCCTTTTTAGTCAGACTATTTAGTATTATAGTTTAATGGTATTTCTCTTCACTTCTAAGTGAGAAGTATTAAGTTCAATTCTCGTCAAATGCGAAGTTAAACCACATTATTATGTTAAGTCTATTACAAGATTTAGCCCACTTTCCCACCCGTTTTAATGTAAATACTATCATTTGTTAAAAATAAAAATAAAAAAGTTTAGATTCCAACGATGCCATTACATGCAAAAAAAAAAAATTTCCTTTTTTTCTTCATTTCCAAAATTGCAAATCCTTTTTATTTCTATATTGTGATAAAATTGTCGATACCAAGCATTTTCCACGCATGCCACCGCAACCTAATTTTTACTCTGAAATGTACAGTGTGGATTCCTACTTCCCTCCCACTCCCCGGGGATTAAAAACTAGAAAGGTTAAGACCAAGTACTAGATTGTCAGCCACAGACATCTTTCTCCTCTCAAGGATGATCCACTGTTTTTTTTACCCAAATTTACCACACCAACCCCCACGCCACCAAATACAGTTGGCCCCACCAAAATGTAAATCTGGCAATTAATCACAAATTTGGAATTGGAATATTCAACCAAATTTCCGTTGCCACAAATGTTCCATCATTGTTCATTTGCTTAGACCCAAGTGTGTTGGAAAAGTGTTGGAAAAATGTTGGGTGCAACTGTGTTACACATAAAAGTTAAAAAAGTGATAAATACAGAAAAATATATTACATGATTATACTTAAATTTTGAGATTTTATTGTTAGACTGACGATCTAATCCTAATCTTAGATTAATTTTCAAATTTTGTTCTTATTGTGTGTGGGGTGATAAAGGAAGATAAGCCTAATGTGATAGAGAATCTGCCAACAAATTACAGAAAGATTCCCAGATTTTCAACTCCAAATCCAGCAGATATTCATCAAAAACTCCATTGGTTGGTGGGTGTTTTTTCTCCCTCAATACTATTGGAGAAACCCATTCATTCAGATCCATTGAAAATCAATCTCCTTTCCTCCAATCCCTTCCATACGTTGATGATTTTATGAACCATATTACCCTCCAAAATAATCCTGTCCTTTTCTCCGTAGGTGCCCAGTCACCCACCACCCACCACCCACCACCACCACCACCACCAGATCTTGAAACTCATCACATTTTTTCCATAAATTAATTATATTAAATATTCATATATTTATATATAGACAAAAGCCGCCACTGATTTCACTTGTCAAAAACAAACCCACATCCACCCACTTGTTTTCTCACTCCCTCCAATAATAACAGAGAAAGAGAAAAAGCAACAACCTTTGGAGGAAAAATTCATATTTTTACAAGTTATCTCACCAACCCAGTCTGCATTTCTATTTTCTGCTTTCTGGGTTTTTTTCAAACCAGTCGTTTTCAGCTTCCATGGAGCGCGCGAGGCGGCTGGCGAACCGGGCTTTCGTGAAGCGCTTGGTCTCGGAGGCGAAGCAGTTCCGCCAGAACGAGAGCTCTGTTCTGGGCTCCTCCACCTCCCCTGTTCTCTACGCGCCGTCGAGGTACGTCTCCTCACTCTCCCCATGCTCCTTGACGCGCTCGTGTCCCAGATCAGACTCGCTTCTCTCGAGAAACGCGTCCCACAATGCCGGGTTCCAAACACGGTCGATTTCCGTGGACGCATTGAAAAACAGCGACACTTTTCCCCGCCGCCATAACTCCGCCACGCCGGAGGAGCAGACCAAAATGGCGGAGTTATGCGGGTTCGATGCCCTTGATTCGCTGATCGACGCCACCGTGCCCAAATCGATTCGACTCGAATCGATGAAGTTTCAGAAATTCGATGAGGGGTTGACAGAGAGCCAGATGATTGAACACATGAAGAAGTTGGCCTCCAAAAACAAGATTTTCAAGAGTTTTATCGGGATGGGATATTACAACACTTATGTCCCACCTGTAATTTTGAGGAATATTATGGAAAATCCAGCTTGGTACACTCAGTACACTCCTTACCAGGCTGAGATTTCCCAGGGGAGGTTGGAATCTCTGCTCAATTTCCAAACTTTGATCACTGACCTCACCGGCCTTCCCATGTCGAATGCATCACTGCTGGACGAGGGGACCGCGGCCGCGGAGGCAATGGCGATGTGTAACAACATCCAAAAGGGAAAGAAGAAGACTTTTGTCATTGCCAACAACTGCCACCCCCAGACCATTGATATTTGCAAGACTAGAGCTGATGGTTTCGATCTTAAGGTTGTTACCGCCGATCTAAAGGATGTTGATTACAGTTCGGGTGATGTTTGTGGTGTGCTTGTTCAGTATCCGGGGACTGAGGGCGAGGTTTTGGACTATGGGGAGTTTATTAAGAATGCTCATGCCAATGGGGTTAAGGTTGTGATGGCATCTGATCTGTTGGCGTTGACAGTGTTGAAGCCGCCTGGTGAGTTTGGGGCGGATATTGTTGTTGGTTCTGCGCAGAGGTTTGGTGTTCCGATGGGGTATGGAGGTCCTCATGCGGCTTTCCTCGCCACCTCACAAGAGTACAAGAGGATGATGCCAGGGAGAATTATCGGTGTTAGTGTTGACTCCTCAGGGAAGCCTGCGTTGCGTATGGCGATGCAGACAAGGGAGCAGCATATCCGGAGGGACAAGGCTACCAGCAACATTTGCACTGCTCAGGTTGGATGCTATTCTTCATTTGATCTGTCTTATGATTTCCTTTCTAGGGTGAACTGTTGAAAGTTTGAATTTTCGATCCAATGATAGTAGCATTTATTTCAATTTGATTGACTGTGGCTTTGTTTGATTGGGTGTATTGTTTGTTTTATAGGCATTACTTGCAAACATGGCTGCTATGTATGCTGTATATCATGGACCCGAAGGCCTTAAAACCATTTCCCAAAGGGTTCATGGTCTTGCTGGGGCATTTGCAGTTGGATTGAAGAAGCTTGGAACAGTGGAAGTTCAGAGCCTTCCCTTCTTCGACACTGTGAAGGTTAAGGTTGCTGACGCACATGCAATTTCTGATGCTGCAAACAAGCTTGGATTAAATTTGAGAGTAGTAGACTCGAGCACTGTAAGTTTTTTTTATGTCCTCTTGCATCAGTTATTTGACTAAATGTTCTCTGAGGACGGAAAATGGAGTGCTTTTACTTCACGAGGTTACTGAATGTTAACTCCTTTTCAGATCACTGTTTCGTTT